TATCCAAGGCGGTTGAGCAGAGCGCCCAAGGCCGTCGCCTAGCGCGGCATGGACGGAGCCGAATGCTGTGCTCCATCCGAGGGTGCCGCGGACACCCAGGGGAAAAAGCGCGAGATCTCCTGCTCAATGGCCTGCTCACGCCAGCCGGGGGGAGCGGGGAGTGGTGAATGGCCATCGAGACGAAGTGCCGCTGCTTCCTGAGTCAGGTTGGTGCCCTCCTCTTCCATGTCCTCGTCCATGACCTCGGCAGCGGCCGGGGCTGGCGCGTCCGCACCGGTTGCGGCCGCAGCTGCACCGGTGGCGGCCGCAGCATGCGCGGCGCATAAGGCGCCGCCGGGAAGCGCCGGGGCCTCCACGCCTGCAGCGAGGCACACTGTGCAGCGCCCGGCCATCGCAGGCTGCGCTCGCGCAAGCAAGAACCAGAGATGCCTCGGTTTACCCGCTATCGCAAGCGCGGGTCCAGTCTTTCGAGCCCGTCCAGCCGCGGCGACGAGGGGGGGGGGGGGCCGCTTGCTGGCTGGCCCGCTGCCGCTGGCTGGCCCGCTGGCGCGGCCTTGCCCTTGAGCCAACAAAAACCACTCGAGTATGTAGTCAATTTGCGAGTGGGTTGGATGCTCACCGCTGCTGGTATACATACAAGTTTTGTGGTGCTGTTTGTAGAACATCATGCTCGTGATAAGCATGATGTGTGTGTGTGTGTTGGCCCATGCCCGTAACCACGTCCCGCGCGTCTTGCAATCTCCCATTCCATCCGCTCCCAGAATTCGTCTTCGGCTTGTGCTGTGATTTGCATCGTCGTCCGCGTTGTTGGGGTGCTTTCCGACTTGGGCATTGAAGCCTCCAGTGATAATCGTGGTTCGTTTCTGATGGACGGCGTCGTCGTGAATAGCAGTCAAATAATCGTACATCTTTTGGACGTGAATGTCGGCATAGCCGAAATGGGGGAAATATGCGGTCGCCACTCTCACCCTGCACTTGCCGATGTCAAAATCGATGTAGGCAATGCGCTCGTCGATGCGTGTGAAACGCTTGATTCTGCGTGCGTGGCGATGGTGGATCAAGAAAGCCACACCCCGTGATACGGTGGTGTGGCCGGCTGCCGCAAAGACATGTGATCCCAGCTTCGTGGTCCACATCTCGTGTTGCTCAGTCCTCCACGTCTCGCTGATTGCCACGACATCCGAAGTGTCTTTTCCGAATGATCAGTAAGTCGATCGAGTCGTCTGTAGTAAGGCTCCTCGCGCTTTCATGGATGATAGTAAATAATGGGTTGTGGTCGCAGTCGACCGTTGGAGGCTGGAGGTCGTAGTATTGACTTGGTGGGGGCTGGATGTCGACAGGAAGAAGTGGATATGGAGAGACGGATGTTGCACGCTGGAGGTTGGATTGCTGAGGTGGTGTTTGCTGGAGGTCGATGGGTGTAGGTGGAAGCAAGATGTTGGATGTTGTAGGCTGGAAGTCGGTAGGTCGAGTCGGTCAATCTTGAAAGTCGATGGGCTGGGAAGGTGGTGGGGAATCAAGTGCCGGAGGCTGGAGGTCGAAGTGTTGAGTTTGCGGACGCTGGAGGTCTACTGGTGGGGGTGGGTATGAGAAGTCGGTTGTTAGAGGCTGGAGGTTGGATTGTTGAGGTGGTGGTGGCTGGATGTCGGTGGGTGGAGGTGGAAGTTGGACGGCGGATGCTATGGGTTGGGGGTCTGTGTGTTGAGTCAGAGAAGCTTGAAGGTCGATGGGTTGGGAGAGTGGTGGGAAGTCGAATGCTGGAGGCTGGAGGTCGGAGTATTGAGCTGGTGGGTGTGGAGGGCCGCTAAGTCGAGGTGGAAGTGGAGTCGGGTGTTGGAGGTTGGAGCTCGTAATGCTGGACTGAAGGCGGCTCGAGGTCGAGAGGTGGAGGTGTGAGTAACAGGTCAAACGTTTCAGGTTGATGGTCGGAATGTTGAGTTGGTGGATGTTGGAGATCGATGGGTGGAGGTGGTGGCGGGAGGTCGGATGCTGGTGGCTGGAGGTCGGAGTGCTGAGCTGGCGGACACCAGTGCTAGAGCCGACCAACCACAATCTACATTGGAAACGAATGGAAACTATTTTGAATTTTGCGACGTGGAGATTACGGCCAAAGCCACCGACATGTCCACCGCCACGGGATGTATGCAACCAATTGTGAGGTTGGACGCCAGGGCCGAAACTACCGATACGTGCTCCCCTACAGCTACCACACAGTCGACATCATCATTTTCACCTTCGTTTCCGTATTCGACTACGGAAATGGGCAAAGGTACCACCGCCGGGATGCAGGTACCGACCTCAGTGTCTACATGCACGGTTGGACCGAATACCACCGACACAATTATTTCGACCAATTTCGATTCCTACCACCACGGCTCCGGCATGGAGGCTCTGGCTGAACACCCTTGCGTTTCACCGCCTGCGGATACATCGACTACGCCGGCGACGCGGACCCCACCTTCCAGACAAGGAACTACCCATACGACTCCGGCTCCCCACTCCGACCTCCAACCTTGCGGCCCAGAGCCTCTACGTGTACAAGGACATGCGGACCCACGTCTCCAGCATTCTCTTCTGGTCTCTCCGACTCCAGCTTCTCTGACTCCAGTTTCTCCGACTCCAGCTTCAAGACAGAGTATTGTATCTCCGACTCCTACTCCCAATTCGGACCTCCAATCCCCCGACTCTCACCACATATCCTGGGATTGTAAATCACACTGGCACAGCCCAATCAGCAGGGGACGGGAAGGGGCAAATATGTGAATGTTCCTGGAGATGTCCCTTTAGGCTTACGACGCCTCTTACCTCATTAACAGGAGATTTGTCGCCCGAGGACGTTTCCCGACTACGACGACAAGAAGACTCCTTGTCCCTGACTCCAGCTCCCACTCTCGATTCAAACCTCCGCAAACCGAGGTGGAGGGAAAGATGGGACAGCTCGCGCAGGATCCCTCCGACCTGGACCAGCTCCATCGAGCGACTTGAGCAGGGATGGCATCAGCACGGATGCAGGCTCAACCGAAGAACGTAAGCGGTGACCCTTACGCATTACTCGGGATGCCCGTTCGAAGAACAAGTCTATGGACACATGTGTATACATGATTGTATACATAGTATAGCTACATAAATACATAAACGTGCATGCATGTAGGCAATAATGTATGTATGTATGTATGTATGTATGTATGCATGTATGTATGTATGTATGTATATATGTATGTGTGTGTACGTACGATGTATGTGTGTATGTATGTATGTATGTGTGTATGTATGTATGGATGCATGTATGTGTGTATGTATGTATATATGGATGGATGTGTATATGGGTATGTGTATGTGCACGTGTACATGTATGCATGTATGTACGTAGGTTGGCAGGCAGGTAGGTAGGTAGGTCGGTAGGTCGATAGGTACGCGAATGTGTGTATGTGTGCATGCGTGCATGTATGTATGTAAGCATGCATGTATGCACGTATGCATGTATGCATGTGTGCATGTATGCGTGCACGCATGCACGCATGCACGCATGCATGCATGCATGCGTGCGTGCGTGAACGTACGTACGTACGCACGCACGCATGCATACATGTATGTGTATGTACATATATATATATGTATGTATGTATGTATGTATGTATGTATGTATGTATGTATGTATGTATGTATGTATGTATGTATGTATGTGCATATATATATATATATATATATTGCACAACGTAGATTGTACCGCATGTATCGTGAACGTAGGTTGCACCATGTAGATTTCACCACGTAGCTTGCCCCACATATTTACACAACACAGATGGCTGGAAGCTCACTCTTGGGACTCACGCTGGCTAGCATTATGCTGTCCGTCGAAGTGAGGAGAGGAAGGCTACGGGCCGGTTCCTGCCTTGACGACGCGAGCGTTGTCTTGCGACACCACGCGGACCTTTCAGTCTTCGGCGATCTCCGCGACTCCGACGCAGGAGATCTTTCAAGCTGCCCTGGTTTGGGCACCCCATGGTCCTTTAACCTTGAACACCGGCGCCTCCGTCGCCGTCACGCCGCGTCGTCGCAGCACGAACCTGTCGCAACAAAGGATGGGAGTCCATGGGACCTTGCCAAGAGCGGGCCCTCACGAAGAGCTCGAGGCCTCCAACCAACAGCTCACCCGCTCGACACTCAGGCCTCGGAAAGGAAGAGAAGGGATACCGAAAGACAATGTGTTGAACAGCCTGGGATCAGATCCGATCCCCACGAGCAATCAGCAACAACGCAGTCCGGACCCCAAACAAGAACGCATACCCAACCAGCCAGGACTGCCCCTGCGAGGACAAGCGGTCTACAAATCCGACATGAGCAACAGCGTCGCCAGTGGACGGGGGATACTATCGCCACGGCGCACGTGGACCCCTGGCATCTTAGGAGGCCACCTGCCCAACACTCCCTCAAAACGGGTCCGACCCCCCCGCCCCGAAGCCCCTGCTGGCCCCTTCTCCGAGCCGAGCCCAGCCGGGAGGGCTCCACGGCACCCCGCGCGCTCCCGCGGGCGGGGGCGATGGGCCCGAAGCCGTTCCAATCGGTCCCCGCACCCCTCCACGGGCTCGTCCTGACCCGTTTGTTCGGGGCAGAAGCGAAGCGATGGCAGCGAAGCGACAAATCACTACCCGAGCGCCAGAGGCCTCCTAGATGGGGAGGAGTAGATGGAGTCGGAGGATAGCGCCGCATCGCCGATACATCGGTGATACATGGCCGATGCGTCGGCGATGCATCAGCGACGCCAGCGTGGAGAAAATCGGGCTCCACATCGAGCCTCGTCGCCGATGCATCGGCGATGCTGCGCGATCCTCGGACCCCATCCACTCGGACCCCATCTAGGAGGCCTAGAAGCACGAAACCAAATCCTGCTGCGGCATTTTCCAGACCAAATCGAAGTGTGCCCGAAGCCGAGCGAAAGCGCCTGGCGTGAAACCCATGAAACGCCCAGATATCAGGGCTATCTCCCCCCCGCGAGGAGCCCATCACGGAGTCCAGCTCCAGCTGCACCTCGAGCGTGTCGCATAGCCTGCTAAGATGGTCGTTCTGGGGACCTTCCTGACGTCATTCGCTCCGCTCATGCGTCGATGCTGCGTCGGACGTCCGTCGACTGGAGTCGAACTTGAGTCGACCTTGTCGGACTAGATTCTACTTAGATTCGAGAGAGCGTGATCCACCGCCGCTTTACTGTGGAAAATTGCCCCCCTCTTCCTCCGGAACCCGCCCCCCCCCCCTCCCCCTCCGAAAATCCCCCCCCCCCTGCTGGACCCCCCCCTCCCCTCCCCTGGCAAAACCCCCCCCTTCCCTACCCCCCCCCCCCCCCCTCGAAAACCGGGGGGGTCACTACCTGTTCGAGACCCCCCCCCCGCCCCCTCGAAAACCAGAGGGGGGGTCACTACAGGTTCGAACCCCTCCCCACCCCCCCACTCACCACTCACCGCCAGAAAACGACTCCTGGTCCCTACCACCGTCCGCGCCACATCCTCCACTGTTGTTCCCAGCACCACTGTCCTCACCACCACTGTCCCCACTGGTTCCACCACCGTCCCCACTGTCCCCACCAGTGCTCCCACCACTGTCGCACTGTCCCCACTGTCCCCACCACTGTTCCCACCACGGTTCCACTCTCCCCACTTTCTCCACGGCCCCAACCACTGCCCGACTATCCCCACTGTCCCCACTGTCCCACTGACTCCTCCGCTGTCCCACTGAGCTGTCCCACTGTTCCCACCACTGTCCCCACTGTCCCCACCACTGTCCCCACTGTACCTCTGTCCCATTGTCCCACCGCCGTCCTCGCCACCGCCTTCACCACTGTCCCCACCACCACTGTACCCTCCACTGTCCCACTGTTTCCACCTCCCCCTGTCCCCACACCACTGTCCCCACCACCACCGTCCCCACCACTGTCCACTGTCCCCACTGTTCCCACCATTGTCCTCACCTCTGTCCCCACCACCACTACAGTCCCCACCACTGTCCCACTGTCCCCACCACTGTCCCGCTGTCCCCTCACCACTGTCCCCACCACCACCGTCCCCACCACTGTCCGCACCCCCCCTCGGTTTTCGAGGAGGGGGGGGGGGAGGGGGTTCGAACTGGTAGTGAACCCCCCGATTTTCGAGGGGGGGGGGTTCGCACCGGTAGTGCCCCCCCCTTTTCATGATGAACTGGGGGTGGTGGGGGGTTCGAACCGGTAGTGACCCCCCCTCGGTTTTCCGGAGGGGGGGGGGGAGGGGTTCGAACCGGTAGTGACACCCCCCAGTTTTCCGCCAGCAACGGTAGAACACGCTCTTTCTTAGATTCGGACAAATCCGTTAACAGAGGCCTTTCACACGGGGTCCGAATAGATGGAGTCGAAAAATCGCGCCGCATCGCCCATGCATCACCGGTGCATCGGCGACGCTGGTGATGCATGGGCATTGTCGGCGTGGAGCAAATCGGGCTCCATATCGACCCACATCACCGATGAAACCTCGTCTGCCTGAACCACATCTGGACGACGAACATAATAACCAGGTCTGACGCAAGATGACGCAGCGAGCCGCTAGCGCACGCGCTACATTGAAGGCGCTTACGGCCGACCTTACGCGGGCAGCTTGCGCGCCAATGTTGTTGCAGACGACTCAGTTTATCTGGGTCGCTCAAATGGCCCCCACGAAGGTTCCCAAAACAGCCTGTCAAGCTGCCAAGCCGACAGCGCTCCAAGGCGGCGCAGATCAGCAAGGAGCCCGTCCGCAGCCGCGAGCGCGCCCTCGTCGCGCAGGTCCAACGCCTGGAGCCCGCTGTTCAAGTATTCGCGGTAACGCTTGCGACTGACCCCGCCCGCCCCTCCTTCTCCACCCCCCTCTGGTTCGGGAACGCACTGACCCTGGTCAATGCAAGCCTGGGTCTGTCACGCTTAGGAGGATGCTGCAGGATACTGCCGGATTCTGCGCCCAAGCCCGGGTCAATGCGCCCCTGGCCCTGGCTGAACCCCGTTTGCATTGAGCCCCGTCTCCTGCGCCCCGACTGGTGACGTGACGATTTGCGCCGGTGCCATCTGGGGGTGATCCCTTCCTGGGAATGCCCAGGCGGCGCTGGCGCGAATCGTGCCGTGACCAACCCCCGCCAATGCTCACTCGCCTGCTAAAATGGGAGTCGGGCTTCAGAGGTGTCAGAACCGGCGGAGAATCGAAAGCAACATGGCGGCGTGAGTATCACACAGGACATCGCAGGCAACACCAAGTATTGGATGGGATGTGAAAAGTGCGTAGATGGATGGCAACCCTACTCATCTCGACTTGAACGCCCAAACCCAGGCGTCGACGTATACGCAGCGGGTACAACGGAGCGCGCGGCTTCTTGTATGTGTACGTTTACACAAATACATACATACATACATACATACATACATACATACATACATGCATGCATGCATGCATGCATGCATGCATGCATGCATGCATGCATGCATACAAACATACATATATACATATATATATATATATACACATAAATGTCTGCATCCATTAACACATATCTATACATCCTTCCCCAGGCCGGCGCCCTCAAAATCCGGGGTGGTGAGGGGAACAGCACTTCGTTCTGTTGCGCCGCGCTGGCTCGAACTGTGCAAGGCAATAACTCAGCAAAAGTGACAAAACGGCCCTTAAAAACTTGCGCGGAATCCATGGAAAGGGCCAAGAATTACGTAGCCCGGAAAGGAATTAACCCAAGCCTGTCCATGCCCCGGACACCAGGCATATTAGAAGCCGACAGGCCTCGGGTCGGACGTCGGGAAATGCCCCCACCGACCCATCACTGCCTACGGTTTTAGCGCGTTGAACATAGAAAACTACTTATGCTCGTTTCCGAACAGCGAGAGGCGTCTGCACTGATAGGCGCCTGCTAAGAGAAGGGGCGACAAAACGGCGCAATATCGTCCAACTATCAGCCGACGCGAACTTGCACTCGCTCAACATTTTCTTCGGGGGTCTTTCTGCTTCGTTTCTGGATGGCATCGGAAACAAACGCGAACGATTTGACGTCACGTTTGAAAGACTGGTTCCTGCGTCATGTCAAACATGATTTCCCCATCAACACTCTCGCTCGCATGGCCAGTATGTGGTCATATCCAGGTGCATCGCACCACGGTGATTGCTTTCGATGCTTACGTCCATACATTCACGCATCCAACTACCGCGACTAAGCAATGTCAGTTCGGTTGGACTCTTCGGATCATTATCAGGCAATGACTGGCTAAAGGGCCCGCGTCAAAAATTAAGGACAACACAGAAGCCAGTCCACCGATTCCTCGCCCATCGCGAAGTGCCTCATGCGATTGTGGGCCGGCTTGCACACGTAGCTCAAAAAAGGCGACGAATGCAATGTGCGCCTCGTCCACGACGCGGGCGGCCGCTGGCGCTTCCGCTGGTTTGCTGGACCGCGCCTGAACTCGACGAGACCTGCAAATCCCCTCGCGTAGGCGGAAAACGGGTCGCTGGGCGAGTTTGTCCGCCAGAGCAAGTCCCCATCCCCTATTGCCGTGGCCTTCTGTCTCGTTTGTCTATCCGCCGCCCAATATTCGGCGCCCGGGGTCGCCGTGGATATCCATTTCGCCCGTGGCGCGCGGGGCGCATCCAAAGAACCGCGATCCTCTTCGGATCGCCGATGAGCGCCCTCGCTTGAGCGCTCTAGCGACGCATCTGGATGTCCGCGGGCTCTTGGACCCCCTCGAGGGATGCGGCGCGCGCCACTCGCCAGATCCGGACGAAGAACGCAGGGGCCAGGGCCTCGCGGAGACCGGCGAACGCGTCGGAAGCAGCGTTCGCCGCCACCACTCCTGCAGAATCGCCGGCATGCGCCGGGCGAGTGAGGGGCCGAGGTTGCTCTGCGTGTTCGCCTTGATCTATCGCTGCGCCGCAGCTGTTGGCACTCGCGCATCTCGCGGTGCACTCCGTGCAAATTTTGCCGAGCATGCATTTGCCGAATGCCCGCTCGACCCGTCGAACATTGGTCGCCGAATCTTTCCCCGAGCCCCGCCGCGCCAATATCGCCCGCGAGGTTGGCCGCGACGCGATCGGGCCAAATTCTAGCTGAAGGGTCGAAGCTGGTTGGATTCAGACCGGCGCCTCGCGTCGCGCCGCGCGGCTTAAGCGAAGGCGCCCCCGGGGCGTGCTCCGCGCCCGCGCCGCGCTTCGAGCGCTCCGAGCAGCGCCGACTTTCGTCGCGTTTTGAAACGCCTGGACGAGCGCGTCGCACCTGCGCGCCCCCCCGTGGAAGGGCGGAACGCATTTGGCGAACTTCCTCGCCGGCAGCGGCGGCGAGTTCCTTGCGGGCCAGACCCTTGAAGAGCGCTTTGTCAACGCCCGCGGGGGCTAGAACCAATTCTGGGCGACCAGCCGCCGCGCCGGCGAGAGGCGCCCGCGATCTGGCGGCGGGCGGCGCCGGGGAGAGCCTCGACGCCGATTGCATCGAGATTCGCGAATCTCCTCAGGACAAAACGCAGACGGATGGTGCGCACTTCCAAGTGCACACGCACCAAGATGCCATGATGCCTGAAGCTTTCGAGAGATAATGCGTTTCGAGGCGCTGGTTGTCGATCCTGAGATTCAGCTCTGCGCGCGGGGATTCGCTGATGTTCCTTGGGTTGCCCGCGACGCCCGCCTGCGTAAATGAGTCGCCCTCTCTGGCCGCAACTGCTCGTTTCGCGGCTGCCGGCGCGAACGCCCGCGGTCGCCGCGCCCGATTGGCAGCGGGGGCCCATCTGAGCATGCGCGAGGGCGGCTTCCGCCATTTCGGCGGTGAAGACCAGTTCCACGCGCGCGCCATCACCGCATTCCCCAAACTCATATGCATGACCAGTGTCAGTGGAGCAGAGAGATACAGAGCAGTCTTCATCGCTGTACGGTGCGTCCACAAGCGACGGCACAGACGGGCCCCCCTGCGGGCCACCGTGGAACCCATCGCCGCAGCAATGGCACATGAAGGGGTCGCGACGGCGGGGGCGCGAGAGACGTCGCCATCGCGAATGGCAGCTGGGCGAATGCCCCCGAGGCGTTCGTCGTGCCAGTCTTCCACCATCATGGCATTGATGCGCCCCTCACTTCCCTCGGATATCGTGGACAATCGGCCGCGGCTGTGGTGTGAGAGCATGGGGGGGTTCTGGGTCGCGTCGGTGGCCGACTAAACGTCGGTTTGGCGGGGGGTCGGCAAATTTTCGCACTCGCCCAGATGCTCATCAGAGCCCGAGGTCTGGAACGAAGATGTGCGGCGCTGGGTGGAACGAAGCCGGGTGCCTTCGCATTCGTAGTAATTGGACCCAGGACTTCCCTCGCTGTCGCAATGGATGCACATGCTTCTGCAGGCGCACTGAAACGACAAGAATGTCGCGACACCCGTGGCAACCCTTACCGTGATGACGCTCTCTACTCGAAGGTAGCTCCGCATAATATCACGCGGGTCCTGGCGTCTCCGTCCGAAGTCCTGGCATTTCTTTCGCCGTCGGGAAATTACCTACACGGCGCGGTAGGTTCCCCTGATCCGAATCTAGAAATGAAGGGGCGAAGCGCCCGCGTGGTCACCTTGCCCATGCCCATCTCTCGCGTTCGAAATGCTTCCGTTCGAAGAGTGCGCCGGGCGTCTGGACAATGAGCCACTGCCGCACTAGAGCCAGCCTTGACAACAAACTGTCCGCATTCATGCCCATCCCCGAGCATTCAAGTTCGTCTCTGAATACGGTGCGCGGCCCATGCCAACCGCCACGGCCGTCTTTCGCCGCAAACCGTCTGCGGCAGTCCACAGTCCACAAGGCCCCTGTTCTCGCGCTTCCGTGCTCCGACAGGAGCCGAGCGGGTCAGTTGGGCGCGGCTCGTCATTACCGCGGTGCCATGGCATCCAGACTCCGCGAGTTCGAATTTCACGTTCGCGTCCAGGAGACTCGCTGGTCGCGGGGACATCGGCGGCATGAAGATCGGGCAGCGTGGCCGGTCGTCTGCCAGTGCATGCTGGACAAGGAGATGCCCCCTGATAGAAACTGAACGCGTTGCAGACGAAGGCCGCCTCTGTGATCATCCGTGCGAAGATGGTCCAGGGATGCTGCGGGGCTTAATGTGCTTCATGCCCAAAGTTCACCGCTCCTGCCCCGATAATGGAAGCGCGCTGCGGGCGCGCGAGTCTTCAGTGTAGCCCCGAATTGGTTGAATTCGTTGACTTCTGTTTCGTCAATTAGGGCCGCCTCGCCGTCCGTCCAGAGCGCATTGCGTGCGTCGTGTGACACGCGCCCACCGCAGTGGGAAGCCGCGGTGACGTCAGGGCGTTCTTGTTCGTGGAAAGCACATCCTGGGCTGAGTCGAACGCAGCGACCGATGATCTGGACAATGGCGCGGCTGGCGCCCTCTGACATCGAATCGCACTCGCAGTCTTCATCGAGGCTAGCCATTGGGAAAGATGATTTGCCACAACGTTCCCAGGCTCGATGATCCCGGCAGCAGTGACATGCATCCTTAATCATGGGAGGCCGAATCGAGTCAAGTCCAACGCTCCTGCGGATCATTCGCATCTCGGGTTCTTTCGCGCGGCGCCACAGCAGGCGCAGTTTCTGGGGCTCCTTCTTTACGACTGCGGGGTCGCAACGACAAAAATGACGCAGACTAGCTTCGCGTTGGCGCGCGACAAGTCGGCGGGCCCAGCAGGGCCAGGCCCGGCATTGGCTCGTGGGTCACGCGCAGCACGTGGCGGGTTGCCAGCGTCGGCGGCGCCGGGGCGCGCGTCGGGTCGCGGGGCCACGGGCTG